CCAGACTAAGCATAACACCAACATTCATATCCACACAAATGCATGAAAATAAATGCTTGCACTGAAACGTTATTTCCAAGACTAAAGTTTTGGGGACATGACACCACATCATCCAACACACAGTCACCAATGTTTCGGACGGTAAAAATGGATGCAGCAGGTTCCTCTGAGACAATGGTAACTATCTACCAGACTACAAAGCCTCTCAAAAGACAGAAATTTTCACAGGCACCATCACTTCAGGAACTTGAAAATTCTGATCTGTTCTCATATTTTGATCCTTACAGTAAGATAAAACCTCCTTACTTCTAAACACACATTCATAATTCTTGTACTGCACATTGCAAAGGCACCCTTTAAAGCCCTTCTGGGACTGAGGTTCCAGATGGCTTAGCATCATAAGACTGGGAAATCTTCATTCTTTGGACATACTGCAGCTTAGAGGATCATGTGTGGGTGTGAAAGGACCAACCCTATTAAAAAGGCATTTATATCAAGGAATTTTCATATCTGCATCTGAAATTTAGAAAAATTTGTCTGGGGTAGAAACAATGGATGACATGAGTTTTATGCTATAAGCATTTTATTACACTGTGTGGTGGTTGCGGTGGTGGGGGGAGAAAGGTGGTTATAGTTTATCCTCTTTATCCGAATTTTAACATAATCTAAAATACCAAACAATGTCTAAATTCAGTCACCACGTTTTAAACTACCTGAACTATTAATATGTGCCATGGACTCCCTGAGCAACTGATGTTTATTCAGTTTCAAGAAATTCCTGATGCTGATCTCAAAGGTTCCTTACGGGTCATCACAAAGTTCACCGCAGGCAAGCAACACATGACATGTACATTATGTACTGAAATGAGTACAGCATGGGGAACATGACCACACACACACACAAAAAAAACAACTAATATAACTGCATACCAATTATTGTATCTCAATTTACCCTTTGAAATGTTAAGTCTATTCACAGATCTCTTCAACGACTTATGTTGATGAACTGATTAGGTCTGTATCAGTGATGCAACTGTAATGCTGCTATTTTATATAATACACCTGAGGACTTATGAACAGGTTCACAAAGTAATCAAGTATAACAATAGTCACTACATAGATCATTATGCTGCTTAACAGTATTCTTCAATTTTCCTTTCTTTCATTACTTTCATTTTCTGTATATGCTTCTTTGATGAATGTGTTCCTTTCATAGTCATGGAGTTTTCCTTTCCAGAATATGTCCAATCCCATCCCACAACATTTTCACATATTCACTTCTTACAAATGCCGTGTGTAGAATCATCTGCCTAGCTGTAAACTGAGACAGATGTATAAAGTACATCACTTTACTCAATATGCTGATTTGATTCAATTGATTTCTGCATGTCACATTCTCTAAAAAGGCAGCCAATATTTACTCTGCTGTTCTGTGTACATAAACAGTACTTGCTTCACTCAGTATGGAATTTAAACAATTCTGACTTTGGCATGGTGATTTAAATAGAATTAGTATGAGTATATGAACAATTTCACAACTGCAGTCTCAGTTTCATGTTACCATTATTTTCACAAAATGAGAAAGTGAACATATCATTCTGTTGAAAATGTGGTGTGTGATAAGCAGGCAAATAAGTTATATGGGTTAAACATGTGACCCAATTTTAATTTATCTCAACAAAAAATAAAATCACACTTCCTAGGCTGATGACTTCCAACTTGAGAAAACAGAGGTAAATTCCTTCTAAAAATGTGAAACAAATAAACACCAAGGTTTAATTTCATGATGCATAAAATAAGAATTAGTATGGAACATTTTTCTGTGATGCATTGAAAATATCTGCAACACATGGTACAGAGCAACCTTCTATATGTTCTGAATGCATCACTGCATGACTGCGGAAGACCTTCCAATTAAGCAAACTGACATAAGAACGCAGGTGAGGCCAACTGGAATGTAAAGTTATAAAACTTGCAGTGCTTGACTTAAAGTGAAAATAAAGACAAAGCAAAATTGAAGCTCAAAATACCAGATGTAGAGTGACACTTGCTTTAGAGGGTACTCCAATAAACTTCTATTATAATTAATCAAGCTCAAAACATATAAAGTAATTAAAAGTCATAAGATGCACACTTAATTAATTAAATCTATAACATATTTTTGTTTGTAAGAAATATGCTAATGAAGCTCAGAATACATGAAATATTAAACTGCCCTTGCCATCAGGAATGCTTTGACAAAGAAAGTTAAGGTCCTAACTACCAAAGGACGTCAATAACTACCAATGGAAACAAGTTGTACATTTATAATGCTAAAGCCACTTAACCTAAGAGACTGCAGATTTCCCACAACCACACACCAATAACAGAATCTATGCTGTGCAAAGCCTTCCAAGGAAAAACTTCAGAAATATTTCACCTGAATATGAAACAAAACAAAACCAGATTACTTGCAGTATACATGGATGTGTGCAAAAATGAACTATATTATTATAGGCTGTGACTTCATACTTGTACTTTTGCATCATAAATGGTAATAAAGAGAAATGTACTAGTGATGTCGGCATGGGTGAAGGGTAGATCTGAGTAACTTTTGTCTGCTTCAAACTGTGGTCTTAGATAGTTACCAGAATGACATTTACCAGTGTTTTGGAGGAATCTGCTATCTCCATCTTCAGGGTTGACTTACCAGACTACACTACGTCACAACCGAGAAGACTGCTGTCTATATCTTCAATGTGTGAGAACTTTGAATCTCGCTCTGTTTTCTTTGCTGCACATTAAAGTGATATTGATTTATGGGACCATATAAGTTCATTTTACTGCTACTATGGATATCTTAAATTAATTTCCTTGATAGTAAACTACACATACAAGATAATATGGCACCCAGAAAATGATATGAATCAATTAGTACGCTAAAAAATGAACTCGTGCANGAGACAGAGATTACTGGAACAACAGACAGCCTTATTCTTCTTTAGTTAAAGTTTTCATATTCAGATAACTGCTCAAGTACAGCTTTGGGTGAAGTTGATAATTTTCATAATTTCCAGTTATTTTGGTCTAGAGAACGTAATTACAAAAAAAGTTCCATTTTTCAGCATCAACTGCTTGAATACCACATGTTCATTGTTGTTGATAATTATATTTTCAAGAGAGGTTTTATCTTTCTGTGAAAATCTATTCATATAACTGATACCCTGTCTACATGAAGATAGATATAGTGGTACTTTAGAGTGCTTCTAACTTACAACTCACTGCTACTGTTCTCTGTTCTGTCAGTCACCCAGCATTACTTGCCACTGTTCTTCATGTTTCTTCTGTCAATTCTGAGATATAACTTCTCATTTGCTCACAAAAGATAAAACTAATTTTGTTTTGCAAGTCAGCCCAGAACTTAAACTTCAAAAATATCTCAACTGACAGAGGTAGCTCATGAAATTAGAATGAATCAGTAGGATTAGGATATTGGGATACTCAAACTACTTCACTTTTATTGTACAGATGACACTTCCACCACTTTTACAATTTTGCTGCACTCCATCCACAACACTGTAAACAGGATATCATAAAGAAAAGTCCTCACATGTATAGTATCACTAAATATTTACAATTGTACTCCTTGACCACTACTTACAAGACAATTAACAAGAACAGGCATGAGAGATGCCACTTAAACAGAAGTACTGGGTGTAAAAATCTCTTCCAACTTCTCATGACCTGAATTGTGCGGTGATGACAGTTGTTGCCTTTCTAACTACTACCTGAAAGTTGTATTCTGCTCAATCATGCCTCTCTTAACTCAGCATAAAGCAAAAGCATTCTAAAATATATCAGACACATTCCATCAAAAAGTAATGGGAATGTGATAAAATTGATCTTCCTTTGTATTAACATCCAATACTCATTACTTAACTACATACCAAACAATCAGGTAGCAATTTCAGTATGAACTAACAGGTTGCCTTTGACAGAAATCTGAATCACTATTACATCCTAATTCCCACTTATGCTCTATAGAACCTATAGAAGACATGATTATTAAAAATTATAATGAATACAAAGAGGTGTGCTTATGTCCAATAAATGTACAGGCGAGGTACTGCATGTTGATGTGCTACAGCAAAACGGAATGCTGCACAGAATTCTGTACCACAAGGGATACCCAACACATTCTGTCCTGATAATACAGAGAGCCAATGGAACCACAGTAACAACAAACATGTTCAGTAATACAGGATAAATCACAGACATAAGAATTGTTTTCATACTGGCAGTCTCTAGGCACGTGCTGCCAGTGTTCATACTCAGAGCTTCATTCCTCTTGCTTCCTTGCAGCATTTGCAGCAGCCCTGCCAGGTGCTCAGATACTCACATCTGCTGCCCCACTGCATATTTCTGCTATACAATGCAATTGCAGTGACATACCTGGGTGTGAACCAGCTGCTGAAATATACATGAGAAGAGAATGGCCCTTGGTGCAATTCAGTTCCAGTTAATAATAGTTTATATGTGGAAATAAAACAAACAGACTGATTCTGTGGTGCAGATAGCCAGTTAAAATTCTGACTGAGGACTGGCTATATGAATCAAGCTATCATGGTTTCCCTCCATACCTGCAGGTAAATGCAGTTACAATACCTTAAACTAGGTCATAACATCACTTTTCCCAGTTCACTATATCATCCTACTATTTACCAGCTTATGCTACCTACCATCTGAAGCATTATAAAATAACCTAACAACCACATGTAATATTTCTGTGTTTAAATGCATAACTGCTTTTCATCTTTTCATCTCTATGTAGGAATCAAGCAAACTGACTTCTAGAACACCCAGAATCCCCTAGGTCTCGTTTAGTGTAAACAACTCAGCTATGCATCATTAGGTATGCAGAATATAATGCACAAATATCAGAAATACTGCTAGTCTGCCTATGCTGATGAGTGTGTGGGCAGATTTCTCTTAGAACTTAAACATATGTAACCAGCACTCACATCACAACCACTAACCAGTAAATTCATGAGAACGCTGTCACTGGGTGTTGGAGGTGGCTGTTTCTGTTGTTGCTGCTGCTGCTGTTTACTGCCATTATGTGTCCCCCCTCCATCTAGAACCCACACTGAGTCACCCCGTGGTCCCCTGGAGTATACTTGCTGGGGACCACTTGTCTGGATCAGCTGTTGTAGCAGCTGGGATGGCAGTTTCTGGGTAGCCTTCAATTCGCTCTTAGTTCTTTTGATGATTGCAGAAGTGTACTGATCATCTGTAGTGGGAGTACATGAACGCTTGCAAGGTCGTTCTGCAGGTCCTGCGCCCTTTATGCCTGCCGTAGATGATATGGGACCACCCCCCTTCAGGGGCAGTATGTGCTGGGGAGGCAGCCCTGGAATGGCAATCCACTCCACACTACCTGAAGATGCTGTTCCTTACAGAGGATACAATCAATATCGAAATGCCACTCTCAAAGCGCATATCACCTGTGTGATATGACTGAAAACTCACAGCAAAATATGTGAAAACTGAACATAAATATGTGATGTATTGCTCAAATTGTTTAGGATATAATGCATTAGGCTCCACTCATTCTAAGGTTATTGTCTGACTTGAAAGCCATTATGGAATTTCAGTACTTCTAATCAAAGGGGGTTACATCTGAGAGAGAGTTTCAGTTGCTTGGCAACACAGCAGCTACAATATCTCTACTTATACATTCTCCTTTCACTATACAAAACTAAATACAAAATGAACTGAGGAAGCTGTATAGTTGTCAAGGCATATAAACATGTAATGTCAATCCCTCGCTGTATGTTATAAGACACGCTGTTTTAGTGGCTACCAGCTGTAATATGATAAAACATCCCATCAATATTCAGTTCTCTTGCATATGTGATGTAAAATCTCAATCATAACATCTGTGACAGCTTCAACAACATAATTTTTAATGTATTCACACTTTTGACAAGGGTGGCTGGAACACTTGTTTCTGACAACCCCACTAAAAAAAAAAGCAAACGTAAGTCAACCCCATAAGAACAGACTGACTGCCTACAGTTTTGTGATACATAATTAATTACAATAATAATTTTATATTTTCACATGCATTAAATATGTGCTACCCTGCATTTAACCATCTGCACACCATGAGCCAATTAAATCTGCTCAGTATATTTACACTATTAAACTACCAAAGAGGACTGGTTCTATGTTAATCCCTTAGTAAAGAATTTCTGTCAAGATATGGCATTAAAGGTGTAATACTCTGATGTTTAGAGGAAAGAACAGACTTTCATATTATCTACACCGGTAGCCATTTGTAAATATTATGAGAGTACTGTTGGTGTTTCTGTCCAACTGCACTTACCCTAGTTAGTTAGTTAGTTAGTGGAGAGGGTGGGTTTCCCCATGCACTGAGACCAGTATTGGTCCATTGTGCTTCCCTCTATGATATTCTACCAGTCTCTATACCCTACCGATATTGGTGCGTACCATCAGTCCCGACCGAGCCAGCGAGTTCGGCCTCTATTGGCTTGGCGGTATCTATAATGTTTCCCCCATCTATCAGAGGTGTTAGAGACTACTGCTGGGCGGGAAATGTCCTTGAATTTAGCTCAGTGACCTCCTTTGGAGATATGAGGTTCTTTTACGTGCCGTAAAGCTACGACACAGGACCCACGGCTTAAAGTCCCTCCCGGAGGACTTGTTCCCTGAATTTTTCCGCCCTTAAAAATTCCACGACCTCCACCAGGTTTGAACCTGCGTACCACGAGTCATGAGGTGGGAACATTACCTCTAGACTACGGAGGCCGCTGCACTTACCCTAAGTAGCCTTGGTGTTTCTAACAGGTAGCTGTTCTATGTGCGGTGTTTGGCAGTCAAAGGGTTAAAAATGATCGGAATACTTCGTGTCTGAATACAACCCACAAACAAAGAATAACTTCTTTAAAATACCTGTCAACATGTATCTTCTGTTTTCTTGGCGTACATGCAGTCAACTTGGCAACAACTACCGCAAGAATAAATACAAAATTCTAGCTATGTTGAGTAAGAGTTGCATACCAAGTATGTATATGATCCAGTTCACAACTTCATTCCCAAATGACAGGCAAGACACAGATGTCATAACAAGAGGAAATTAAATTACCACATTTTACTGTTTGTACTTTACATGCAAAAGTAAATTACGTTATTGCATTAAACTATACTGGCTCCTGTATTATATCCATTTTTGCACAATACATCAACAAATATGTTTAAGCATAAATTACATTAAAGCTAATGATCTTCACTTCTGAGAGTAAAAGTAAAAATAAAGGTATCCCTGTACCAAGCTGGGAAGGCCCATAGGGTTTCGAGACGTTGAGGGTCCCACATTATCTAGACAATCGGCTCAGAGAAGGCAGTAAGGTTGTCAGCCTTACGCACCGGCCGAGCTTTACTCCCCAGGAAAATTATTTAATTAATTCCTGGTACTCATTTCTGTTAGAGGCTGAGTCGACCCCAGGGCCACAGTGTGGCTGGAAGGATTAGGTCAAATGAAAAAAATCCAATGACCTCATCAGGAATTGAACCCGTGACCTTCTGGCTTGTAGCATAGCCCCTCAACCAACTAGGCTACAGCGTGCCCCCTCACTTCTGAGAGTAGCAATTCTAAAATTATAACATATAGAAGTATCAAAATATAAACATGTGGGGGCAGGGGGTTCAAAAACGAGCTGTATGTAGGAAACAGTTCAAATGGCAAAAATAAATCTAATTATGGAGGGCAGAAAATGTTTTTATAAAGTACTGTAAAACATCTCACAAAAGTGTACACATAAAACTACAATCCAAAATTCATACTGCGATGAAACTCCTACAGTACTTATTTGTATTTTTAACAAGTTAAATCTGTAATTATGAAACAATAAATACTGTTCTGAAGTATGAAGTACCATTCATGTCACCAGGCTGTGAGCTAATGTATTTTAAAATTGAAACCCCAGATGTAAGGCTCCTATACTTCATCTTGTCCCACAATACACATAACATTTCCCATTAAAAGCTGCCATCCCAACAATCAGATTTAAAATCTCGGTACCCAATCTCACCCAGGCATGTTGCTATTGATAAGTAACTGAGTTTCAGACAGATTATGGTAAATTAACAGACTTTTGAAGGTTCCTAAAATTCAGTAAACATGGGTTACTGGTCTACTTATAGAGAGGGCATTCTCACACTACAATGTATTTATATTTATGCCCAATGCATAAAATTCTTAGAAGATATGTTAGTAAGTGCTAGCCTTTGTCCTCCCAGTCACCCTGTCATGAAGTAGAACTGGCTCTACAAGTGCTCCCAGCTCAATAACATATTTCTTCTTATTACTGGGTGGCTACAGGACCAAGAAGGTTAATTAGGTTACAGGTAGGTTTTCCATACTTGAGTCATACCTCAATGTTTGCAAAATGAAACCAAATTTATTAGCATACTTGAATACTGGCTAATTTAAGTACTTCATAACTAATGGCTACTCTTCTGCTCATACAACCAGCACAAATTTTTACTGGTCCTCCATTTCAGTACTGCTATAAGTTTCGTCCAAGTTGGTGAGAAAATCCTGTTTTCTCTAAAGCATTACTTCCATTAGAAGCATAAGATTTAACAGTTTATAATTGTGGTCTTATATTTCATAGCCCATAGCCAGTATCAACAACAGTGACGAATGCAGAAAATATAGCTCAAAAGGCATGAAAACAAATTAATAAGAAACTAAAAGGTTTACTAATTCCAAATGTGTTTCAACCAATGGGCAAAACCCAAAGTGAATAAATCCTTGTTCAACACAGATCAACTGTAAATGCACTTCAGTTTCCTCTTACACAAAATGGACATAAAGAATTCTACTTGACAAAATGTAAATAATCATATTCTCTATGCAGGATGTGAATATCTTAGGGTTGGAGACACACAGCTGGGACCACAACAGGAAGGGATTTAAATGCTAAGGAGAGCTTATGTTTGGCTATTTCTGCATAAGTTATGGGTGAATGAGAATATAGTATTATACAAACTGAATTTTTTGTGTTCTTCCAAATTCACTTGGCTGCATGCTTATGTATGTTACTTTAGCAGATTCTTTGAATTTTAACTGAACGACCTTATGTTTTCCACTTACATTTTCTGACTCAGTGTTTTTTTGGGTTAAAAATGAGAGCATTAAAGTAATCCAGTTTTGCAGAGTGACGTACAAGCAATGTACGAGATGTAAAGAATAAGTTTCCAAAGGATTACCTCCATTTCTGTTCTAAATATCACCGCTTTCATAATCTTGTCCTTAGATTTATGGCCCATATCTAACACAGTAACTTTGGCTACCACGGTTAGTGGCATCGTATGTTGAAGCGGTTTCAATGTTTCAGAATATACTGCAGTCATCACCTTCCAAATGAACGAGGCAAAAGAAACAAGCAGCCTGATATACAGATCTCACAGTGGGAGTAAAGTCTGTCTACTGCTGACTGCTGGTTCTCCAGCCTGGATAACAATCAGTCATAGGGGAATACTCCACCAAGACCAACCACAGCACTGAACTCAAGGCAAACTGAAGTCCTAGCAAACATCTGTACCCACCATCATCAGCTGAGAGAGCTGTACACCTCTACAACTTAATCGGTAAAAATGGATAAAAATCATGCAAAGTATGGCTGTATCCCATTCTTGACCACACCATCTCATAATCACCTGGCACCTTCCCATTAGACAGCACTGTGCTTAGCTCAATACGCCCACCTACACTCAAACTGCAAAACGTATGTACATATCTCGAGCAACTTCCTTCCAATTCGTTCACCATGAAGATGATAACCGAAATCTAAGCCAATAAGTTGGAGCAGCTTTAACATATTATATATCCCTAAATTCTGTCAACCAGAGTTGCATGTCGTTTCCTTCCGCTCAAGTAAATAAAAATTTGGTTCAGATAAATCAATTTATAAACCCATTATATCACTAATCTACAACCCCATCATTTTCATTAGCATGAAAAAGCATATGCATATAGATGAAATAACTTAACCTTAAAAAAAGACAACAAATCATAATTTGAAGTATCCAAATTATCTCCAGCCCCTAAAAGAAATGAGTACCAGGAATCTTCTTGGGGGGTAAATGGAGGCTGGCGCGTAAGGCTGACAACCTTACCACCATCTGTGAGCCCACTGTCTAGAAAATGTGGGACCCTTGACTCTCACAATCCTATGGGCCTTCATGGCTTCCTACATGGATAGCTTTAACTGCCTTCCATAAGAAATAACATATTTAAGGGTGTAGAGAATGTAAGCTTATGAACACAGCCTATTTATCTATAATACTGCATGTAGTTTACCTTATAAATGAAAATACAGAGTCCATTACACATTCACAGGCAGTACAGAGAAAACTAAATAAAATACAACAAAAATTACCAGTTCTTATGCCACTTGTATGTGTGGATGTTTGGATGTCAAGTGTTCTAATGTTGAGGATAAAATGCATGTAACTGTACATTTCATATACTTTTTCATTATCAGGATATTTATTTTTCAACTAAAAGAAAAGAAAGCATGACTCACTATGTTCCCTGATAACTTGACCAAGTACATCACTAGGATCCATCAGGCCTCCTCCATGGTCATTACATTTCATGGGCAGCGGTCGACTAGAACGCTGTCCAGGACTATCAGCACACAACAGCTGTGCAAGACTTGAGCCTAGGTTTGTCTTCGTAACAGCTGCAGTTGGTGTTGTGCACCTGATACAAATGTATATTGCTTTGTTTGAACATGATGGACTTAAACATTTATGATTCAAGCCTCACTAAGGATACAGAAATGCCAGATGATGAAAAGCATGTGTCTACTCGTACACACAAACAGTATGCTTCAAATGGCACAAGCTGCTGCTCATGGAAACGTACACTTGCTTAGTATGTTGAGCTGATGAATATGAATATGAATTTCAGAAAACACTATTTCCCTGTAAGAAACGTGAACTCACCAACTACTGCTTTTACTGGAACTGTTGGTTTTACTTGAAGGTGGCTTGTCTGGGAGAGCACCCCACATAAGATCCGTGGATGTGAGTAGGGGATAGTCATCTCCCACCCCCATTGGGATGTATGGTGCACGCATGCTCATATCTTCATCCCCGTCTGACATGCTAGTACTATCCAGATGCAGGGACAAGAAAGGAGTCATGTTATTGTCATCCCCAGGGTCTCCTGGACTACATAATGAAGGCAAACTACAGTCGCCAGGACTCTGAAACGGACATATAAATATGTTGATTAACTTTCCTACCTCTTTCTGAAAGCTTACTACCCACAAAATAGGTGAACAACTATAGGCAACTGCAGGACACATAAAATGAAACTTAACGTATTTAATTCCAAATCTGTGGTATATTTCAAAGAAATGTAAACTGGTACCTTTGAAAGGGCTGGTGAATGAAGATGAGAGCTGGGAGATCCACCAGAAGAGGAGGTCTCATCGCGGTAAGAGAAGAAAGGGTCATTGCTGTTGCTGCCCTCGCCTTTATTAGAACTTGAATGACTGGACTGAGAATCACTCAATGTGTTCAAGTCTTCTGTTAGAAGAGGGCAATAAGTGTCAGAAAGTATAAAGTCATCAAACATGTCTGACATGAAGCAGGTGGTTTCAAGAGGAACATCCACATCTCCAGCAGTTGGGGCCAGGTGTGTCAAGTCCTCTGGTTCATCCTTGAGCACTGCAACCAATTATTATGTATCATTTAAGATTAACAAGAGGACGATTTAGTTAATATGATATAGTATTGACGCCAATGTCTTAAATTCTTACAAAGAAACATACTTGTTAGGCCTGGTTCCTCTTCTGAAAACATAAGGAAGCCTTTGTTCATTTCCTCTGTCCTGGGTGCAAATATCTTTGAAGTAGCAGCCTGTGGGCGTGAGAATGCTGATGAAAGAGGGATAAGCAGGGGTGGAGAAGAATCTGATATCTGTGCTGTCTTGGCTGGACTGGGGACTGGTGTGGGAGTCTGTGTTAAGGGCACAGAAGATGAAGCAAGTCCAAATAATTTACTTGTGACAGTATGAGGTCCTGTATTTGAGGAGAATGTAGGTAATTTTGTTTCATGGGTGGAACTTGCAGAAATTGGATCAGAAGCAGGGGTGGGAGAGGAAGAAGTTGGAGAGGGGGTGGGAGCAATGATATGAAGAGGTGTAGGCGATGCTTGGGCAAAAATCTTGGTAGTAACCACCTGTGGGCGTGACACTACAGCCGGCAAGACAACAGGCTTCACATCAGGCTCCACATCAGACTCCACCAGTTGCTCACCAGGTGTCAGCTGAATGCATGAGTATACCTCATCTTTATGTTCAATTCCACTGCAACCAAACAAAAACACAACATTCTAATTTTCTCATATGCGAAGAAAGTTGCAAAAGCCAGCAAATGAACTTTTGTCCAGGATACATTCAAAGGTATAAACATGACAATGCTGGCAAGATGCAGTAGATGGACTGTGATTTATTCTTTCTTCAAGAGGAGGTGTACCACAACAGTAAATTTAGCACTGTATTTTTAGGACCTCTCTTATGTGAAAGAAGAAGCCCTCATCAACACTTGACTGGCCTCGTGGTGCTTGTGTTTCGCAAAACTCTTACATAACAAAACAGCACTCAGTGTACTGTGTATTAATTACACTTCCTCTTCTACACATGTCCATCATAACGGTAAAGGGCGATTTCACTTACTGGCCTGATCATTTTAGTCTTTTATCAGCCTTGCCATGCCTATACTGAAAGCAGACAGCATTATCTTTCAACTTATATGATTTTCATTAAAAAAATAAACATGTATTTTATATGTGGTATTTTTTATGACAAATGTCCCTTATGCACTGCCATCACCAATTTAAGAGGCAGTGGCAATACAACTGCTGAAAGTGATATGCGACCGATTGCAATACTCAATGCACATTCCTCTAGAAAATTAGTTCCAAGTTGGACTCAAAAAGCATGCTTTCCTAGTGAAAACTTCCAATCCTACAAATCTTGTGCTGTTAAAGTCTCATTTTGGTCATGTACATTTAACTCATGGGTAGAGAGCTGGACTCCTACACAGATGGGCATATGATCAAATCCTATTTGAGTAAAACTGTTTTGTTTGCAACTGTAAATGTGGTACAAAATAACAAATTATTGTTGTTTTGTTGCTGTTGCTGTTGTGTTACGAATGATGGGCTACAAAGAATGGGGCCAAAATCATAAACTATTTAAGAAAAATGTTATACTCCTAAGCAAATTGCCTTTACTGTAGAGAAAAAAGAATTTTCTTAACTTAGATGACACTTGTAGCAGGACTGAAAAGGGGGGCCAGTAAAAATGAGTGCTCATTTCTTTGCTCACCGCCTGCTTGGTTTACTCTTCAACCCTGATGATAGAGGCCACATGTTCTTTCAAAAGGCGGACGACTTTCAAAAGCCTACATGGCATTATATCACAGAAGCAGAATTCTTGAGAACAATTCATCTGAAATCAGTGTGCCTATGTTCAAAGCAACTAAATTGCTGGCTCCAACAGTTCTGTCTTAACTACAGCCTCACAACGCAAGATGACATAATAATGAACGATTCAAATTAAGATGAAGCTTACTTGTAGGGCAATGAAAAAAAAACTGCTCATGCCTAAGCACCATACTACAAAGATGTATGGGGAGTGGAGGTAAAACTCCACTCTCTCTTCACCAGTACAATACATTCACTGACACTTCAACACTATAAAAAATAAATTTCCAATGGTTATAATGCCTTACTTAGGTATGGGAAAGGTAAAATCGGAGATGGGAAGTTACCACAAGGTGGAAGGAAATGAACTACTTAATAATACACAATGTTTATCATAGTATTCTCAGGCGGGGCATTAAGTCTTATGTTTCCACTTTCTGTTCTTGAAAAGTGTGAAGTGTTAAGATCTATATAGTTTATTTTAATTAGCTTTAAAATAAATCAACAGACCAAAATCTTAATTTAAAGCACTGTTGGCCAAGCAGCAATGCTACTGGCTTCTATTCAAGAGATTCAAAACTCAGCAGGGCCACCGGTTGGTTATCTTGAGGTATTTCGTGGCTTTCCTCCATACCTTCGGGCAAATGCCAGGATAATAATTATGCCAAACCAGTTTCTTCCGCGTTCCTTCCAATATCCACTACCAGCCTTCCATTCAATACTATATAGCCTGACATACTGACAGAGTCAATATTAAATGAATGGTGTTGTTGACAGAAGATGTGGGATCACTTCTTCAATTAAAACTAAATTAATTTTCATTCAGAACTAATATCCATCCTACCATGCTCTCATTGACATCAGAAACACAAACTTCTGCATTTGATACGCAGAGTTAAATGACCTCAATAAAAACTTATTACAGGAAGAGGTTAGCCACTGGCACTGCTGATGTAACAGGCTGAGAAGACTACCTTTAGGTCCACTGGAGAGATCGTGAAATGCTGCCTTCTGAATGAAGGTGAACCAGCCATCAGCAACCCTTTGTCTTGTCACATTCATCACATCTCCCTCGTTTATTACAAACAATTCGGAGTCACTCAACAGAAATCACACACTGATCCAACAGTCATGCGGAAAGAAGCACCTCTGCGAACTGTGGCCCATACCATTGAATTGGATTCTAATCATAGCATTAATTTGATCTGTTTACGTAACGGAACTTTAGGAAACGTGACTCTCCCAGAAATTACAATGGGGAGGTCAGGCCAGACGAAACTGAAAAGACTGGTCTACCTAACCACAAGTTGTGCACATAGTTACATGGCCAGTTTTTGTTATACACTAATGTGGAAATGGTCCAACCCATTTCTGCTGGCCCTGCACCAGTTCCTGCTGCAGTGAACTTAATTTCATAAATGGCTGCAACACACAGAATTTCAACCCAATAATAAAGTCACTACAATCATAAATGGCTGCAACACACAGAATTTCAACCCAATAATAAAGTCACTACAATGATAAATCACCTCAACGAAGACGCTTGCTGTTTGCTGGTAGTCAAGCAATGCATTCCTTAACCTACCTATTGTTCTGTAGCCACACTTATGCTAACATCCTGTCTACAACTGCAACCTGCTTCTACCCAGCAAAGGGTAAAAGGTAAAATTGTCCTTGTGCTTAATTAAGTACCATATCATGAAGACGTATGGGAGACTTGAAGGTATATGTCCGGATGGAGATGTAGGGTTAGATAAGTGCAACTACTTTATATGAAGAGATGGGGAGAGCACCCTTGGCATCCACTTTATGAGGCAGGGTACACTCCTGTGCTGGCCTGTACATCAAGGCGATGAGACAAACTTCTGTCGAAGCAAATCGAACCCTAGTCGTCCACCACATAGTCACTCACTGACATACTCTGTCTCCTTAGCACTACACTTTGTGAAGTAGTGAAGCAAGCAATGTATACCACAGATACATGAAAAGGAACAAAGTGTAATAACAACACAAACTTTATTTTAATGTACTTTATTAGCATTATATCACTATTACTCCCCGTTCCAAAGAATAACTGCAAGAAGGGCAGTAATTAAGGGTGAGTTGTGGGGAAATAGACCCCAATGACGGTTCCGGGGCTCGACACCCACACAGACGCTTATAGCAGGGCCAACTGATCACCTGTTACAGTGCAACCGCGGAATGACGCCCCCGCGCCAACCACTGTGTCACGCAAAGAATAACAAACACGCGTACTTGAACGTTATGACTTAATTTCACTATATATGACCCACTTGAATAAACGCAGCGACAAGCGGCCTACAATATAATCTTTCACCACTGACAGTCGAAGTCATCACTCTGGGGCGCACCAGAGATGTTTCTTCCAATGCTGAAAGCTGTGTTCACTGCAACCGGCGTCACAAAATTTTAATGATTGTGATAATTAACGCTCGGGATCCAGTACTGGGCCTAACTTCGCCGAGTATATGGAATAATGGATCGCCAACTAAACGATATAACAGTGCTACAGAATCAGGTACTGCCTGGACGTTTCCTAGCAGAGGTACTGTGTGTCGTCTGCGACAAGTACTCTATGATGAACGTGGAAACTTCGGCGGTGATTCTTATCTTCCTTCTTCTGCCTCAAAATCGAAAACGATCGACAGGCAAACCACGACCGATATGACGCTGTGTCACCTGCTGAACGACATCAAGTACGAATTGTCATCGGTCCTATATAAAGAACTACCGGGAAGAGACAAAACCTAAGAAGTACCTGCACATTTAACAGAAAAGAAGCCACACGTTTTCGGCCGGAAACTACTTTAAATTTCATCACGATTAATATTTGCGCACAGAGGCAATCTTGCTGTTTACTTAACATTCCTTGTATATGTTCCGAGATCCGTGCAAACAGTCGCGCTACTCGCACATATCGAGTTCGCTTCCACTGCACACCAACTCTTACCTCGCAAGATACGGGGATAGGAACACGCTCGACAAATGCGTCCCGCTGACTGACACCAATCCAATAGGCCGGAGTTCCCCTGTTCACTGTGCCGACCGTGCCGACACTCCCCTCACTTCTAACTCAACACACCCGACATCGCCCGAGACGTACACCCCACGTGGTTATTATCACGTGCAACAGCTGCATAAAGTAAAAGTGTCTTACATCCACTTCTTTATTCATACAATCTGTGCTTTGCGCAAATATGAATCATCCTGCTTCCACATGTGGAAATGCTTGGCACAAGTACAAATTTTAACTACAGTGTTCCCAAACTTTCCGTCAATCACTGTCACCTGTTAACGACTCTTAAATCACGGAGAAGTGCGGCCGCGAAATTTGACTCACGTATTGACATGCGAATTCGGCCCTGTACTCGTCATATAAATTGCTTTAAATGTTTACATAGGAATTTGTTAAGGGGTTATTTTGGATGTAGCAATATGTTTCAATAAACCTATAAAATGAGAAGACGGCAAAACGCATGACAAACACGTTGCAGCCTACTTCTTGCTGGTTTCCTGCTTGGTTTACTCTTCAACAATGAAGATGGAGGTAGCACGTTCCTACGAAACGGCGGTGGCCTTCTACCGGACTACACGGCGTTACATCCCGGAGGATAGCACTCTTCTCTTTGCAAAAAGCTGAGAAATGTGAGGTTTCTCATTAAATATATCAGTCAGTTTTGTTTCCCGTTTTGTAAATACAGTACGAGTAATAACAGATTCTTCCCACCCATTCTCACTTTAAATTTTAAGTATCTTTCTACGCCGTATGCTTACACGTGTCACGAAATGTAACAGAAAACAGCATTAAGCACGCAGCAAACAATTTGCTGCCTGCTTCATGCCGTGTTCTTGCTTGGC